AGAAGGACAACATGCTTGGAAAGTAGAGGGGCAGCTGGAAAAAGAGGGAGGCTCGTGGCAAGGTACATTGGTAGAGTGGCTGCAACCACCGGCTCACACATAAGAACAATGGTGGCTGGCACAGGACCAGGCAGTGTTTCACTCTGTTGTACACAGGGTGACTTGCTATGAGTTGGAACCAACTCGGAGTCACTTAACAACAACAAAAAGAAAAGCCGAATCATATGGCCTTTGTCTGTGGTGATGGCATTGTGGTGATGCACAAGTTCAGCAGTTTGACACCACCAACGGGTCCGAGGGAGAACGACCTAGGAGAAAGAGGGGCTTTCTACTTCTGTGCCAAAAGAGTTAATGTTGCCGAAACTCAGGTGAGCAACTGTTCGACCCTGCTATATCGGGGTTACTGTGAGTCAGCATTGACTCCATGGCAGCTAGTTTGGTGGTTTTGTTTTGGTTTGGTTTTGTGGTGCTTTTACTGGCTGCTTCTCCCAATTCACAAATTTTGTTTTTATTTTTCCTTTTTAAAAACTCCTTATTGTGAATTAGGTGAAGATTTAAAGAGCAGACCATAGTTTTACATTCAACAGTTCATATGCGTTGTTTTAGCTCCTGCATTAGTCTTCTCAGTGAACCAGCTCCCTGCATTTCCTGCCTCCGTGCTGTCTCTCTCCCTCTCTCTGGGAACTTTGGCCTTGGTTAAATGCTGCCCCTTTGATCTTAAATGGTTGATTATTCTAATACAGAGGAGTTCATTTCCAGGCTACAGGGTGACTAAAGACCATAATCTTGGGGTCCACCAGTCTCTCCTTTATGATTTTGGGTTTGCTTCCATCTTTTTCTCTCACTTTGTCCAAGTCCTCCTAATGTGACCCTTTTCAGCGCACTTGGGAATGCTAAGGCAGCATTCATTCTTCTAGTCTCAGGCTTGTGAAGACTGTAGTTTGCCTGGTTCCGGAGAACATTGGACTGATTGTTTCTGTATGTCTTTTGATTTTCAGTGCTCTTCTTTCCTCCGTACAGGAGAGACAATTTTTTGCACCTTCGATGGTTGCTCACAGGCTTTTAGGACTCCAGTCAGTACTTATCAAAGTAGGATGTAGGGCATTGTCTTTGTGAACTGTACGCCAGTTGACCCTGGTGTCTCCTAAAGTCATGATGATCTTGATCCCCGTTTCCGATGACTCATTCCCTCAAGGTATTCCCTCTAAGAAGTTTTCATGACTTTTTCCCGTGTATGCTGTACCACATTGTGAGTGAATTTGCAGCAATAGAGTTAACCACTTAATTTTTTTGTTTGTTTGTTTTATTGTATCTCTTGACCAATATAAAAGATGAGGAACTTAGCATTTCAGCATTATCTTCTCTCCTGACTGCGTTTAGTTCGTGAGGTTACATTTATAACTTTACATAATACACTTAAACCTTTCCCCTTCTTTTATTGTTAAATTATTAACTTTAGGCACAATATTGACTCTCAACTAGGAAAGATAAAGCTAATTTTGAATTTATACTTCCTTTCACTTATCTTGACTTTTCTAAGTAATTTTTATATTGTAAAGGTTTATAACATAGTAGTTCTACAAGTTAAAGCCTAAATTCCTTTTTAAAGCAAATTTAAAAGAAGCATGTGTAAAGAATGCTTAACTGTACACTTTATAGAGCCAAGTGGTATGATTTGAGACATAGAGAGGGCGAAATAATCTTGTATCAATAAAACTGTCAATAAAACATCTAAGGTTCCTCTTTTGCTGTCTTGAGCTAGTATGTTTCTTAGGCAATTTTATACCAGTTCCAGTTGTCCAGGGTTTTCTTACACTTCTTGGTCTGCTGTTGGTACATTCCTGCTTCCATCCCCCACCCCCACACCCCAGATTTTGATAGTTAGTCATTTCAGTGGGTCCATTGGAAGGGCTATCATAGTATGTTCTCTCTACCACATTAAACTAATCAAGAAACACTTAGAAGATGGTGGTGATTGTTAGGTTGAGTAACTTCCAGTCCCGTGTTACGTACAACAGAACAAAACAGTGCCCAGCCAGGGCCATCCGTACATCTTTTTATCTTCTAATGAGGTTTCACATCTCTTTAAAGTATTGTATGAATATAAAAGGTTTGCTTTTAAAAAATTATTAAACAGTGTGCAATTATACTAGGCACTGTTCTGAATGCTATAATTATTTATTAACCCATCAGATCCTTATAACAATCGTTGAGTTGCTGTCCTCATTTTATAGATGAGGAAGTTGAGCCCCAGAGAAATGAGCTAATGCTCCCAAGGTCACACAGCTGGTAAGTGTTAGGGGGCAGCATTTAAACAAGGACACTGGGCTCAGTTTTCATGCTTTTAACCATTATCTTGTGGCTGCCTCTTACCTGGCATTCTTGCTTTCTGATTTGCTTTTTCCTTTCTACATTTTCCCATGCTCCTTTTTCAGAGTACAACATGTGACACCTCCATTCACTCAACACATACAAAAGGTCTTCGAAAAGTTAGTGGAAATTTTTCATTATCTTTCAATTCCATTTCTCCATGAACTTTTTGAAGCCCCCTAGTATTAAACGCTCTAGGTACTGCTTCAGGTATAACAATGAGCAAAACAGAGTGCCTGCTCTCATGGATTTTACATGTAGTCAGAGAAGATAGATTTAAAAAAGAAGTTACATATGTTAGCAATGCTGTTTTTTTTCTCTACAGAATAAATAAAATCAAGTCATCATGTACCAATGTAAATTAATCTGTAAAACAAAGATTAGATCGGTCAGTCTCAAAGTGGAATTGACAGATTGTACCCATTCCATTTCTATTAAAAAAATATATATATATGTATATATATATACATATATATGTAGTATTAGTAGTTACCCATTGGGTGGAAGCTGCTGTGGAAGTGATTTCTCATGATAAGCATGGGGAGGGCAGTGCTCGTAGGAATGACACCTGTGAAACAAAAGAACTGGGAAGAAAGCAAGCTTAGGTAAAAATCTGGCTGCACTGACGCGTCAGCAGGAACCGTGTCTGGCGTTCTGGGGAGTTCTGAACACAAGAGTTGACACAGCAGAGTTCTTGCAAATAGTGTCTAGGGTTGTTATGTCTGTCCGTGGAACAGGTTTCCCAGGAGGGAGATCTGACCAGAGAGGAGGAGTCATTCTCAGAAGTGAGTTAACAACTGAGGATTGTTCTGGCAGCATTTCCAGCAGCGGAGAGGAAATCCTATATCGCTGTTGGGGACTCGGGTGATTGGGAACAAAGGTCAGATCGCAGCATCCACCACAGTGTCAATAGCTGATTTGGATTTGAATTCATATTTCATTTCCTATGAAATTTTTAGCAAGTATTTTTGTGCCTTTTTAAAAATGTAAAATTTGATTAGTATATCTTATTAGACAATTGTGAAGATTAAATAAGAGAAGGTTTAAACACCTGGATCATAGTAAGTATTCCATAAATATTTATAAGAAAAGAAAACAATAATATTCTTTGTTAAAGGACATTTTCTGGAAGGTGGGGGTTTCTCATGGGAAGTACCTCTACATCCAGGCAAAAAACATTTGAGTGTCTAAGTAGTTATGTAATTATATTAAAAAGTCCAAGAATGTTTGCCTTCTAGTTGTTCACTGTCTAGTTGAAGATGTGCCGCAGTGGATGATGAGTCAAATAACAAAAAATGGAGTCTAAGATACAAGTAGGGTGGGTTTAGAAATAAAGAGCATTCTATTTGTGTGGCTGGAGAAGGTTTACTGGAAGTGGATGTTGAAGTGCCTGGTGAAGAGTTGTTTCCACTGTAAACTGAGCTGCAGCTTGAGGGAGTGACATAATTAAAGAGTCCAAGGATGCAGGTCTTAAACAAGGGTGCTTTAAAAAACTCCTCTAAGAATTGAGTGAAAGGATAATGTAAAATGTTCATGAACTTTCTGAAGTCCCCTCATGTGGAGGTTGTGAGTGACCCAGGTGTCTGTAGTAGAGTGTTTCTGTTGGAAGTGGTGGGGCAGGCTGAGATACAAATTGGAACCAGATGCAGCAGTTGGTTTCTGTTCACCTGGAGTAGCAGACCCAAGAATTGAGGATTGAACTGAAGGCATAGGTGACTGCATGAACTACTCCTTTGCAGTAAGACCAGACGAAATTGATGGTGCCTAGCTACCCTTGCTGAATGTTTTGATCAAACATTTAATAGATAAGTCTTGACCAACAGGAGAGGGGAAATGGAATAGATTTTAAAATTTCTTTATAGAACTCAGACTTACTGGGCTCATTGAGGCTGGAGGAACCCCCACAATTGTTACCCTAAGAACATTTTAAATCTTGAACTGAAACTGTCCTTTGAAGTAACCTTCAAATTAAAGTTTAGCTGAATTAACTGAATTAGGAAAGACTGTTTGCCTTGAGCATTGCAGTCCTTTAAAGAATTACCTATATCAAATCAAACTGACAACTGTAATGTTAAGGTATAAATGAGGGAGGGCAGTGCGTCTAAGTCAGTGACGATGAAGCAATATTGGGAGAGTGCGCGTGCTTGACAAAGTGTGACAGATGTAACCATTGCCATTAGACTGTACATGTAGAAATTTGTTGAATGGGTATGTGTTAGGTTGTGCCACTTTTTACTAAAAATAAAACATTTTAAAAACTGGAACAGAGTTCTTATAAATATAAGGCAGAGATTTATCAATAATACATTTGTTCTGTGGAGTAAAATGCCTTACTAATGTGTGAGTTTCTGATAACTAATATTAAAGCAAAAGTGGAACGATACCATATTTCAGTGTCATTAGGATGGGCCTCCTGAATTAGGAGGGAAGGCTGTAGTAAAGACAAATCTAATATTTCTATTTTGTCATTATTTAGTATTTTTTTACTTTTAAGAGACAGTAATATATCATGCATTTACAAAATTTCTCAAGCCCATCAAATATCAGCTACTCAGTAATAAGTAACAAGTAAAAATAATAAGCATTATTATTTTTAATAATTGTCTGACTTAAAACTTTTTCTTTCGCAGGGATATCATGATAACGCATTTTGAACCTTCAATCTCCTTTGAAGGTCTTTGTAGTGAAGTGCGAGATATGTGTTCTTTCGACAGTGAACAGCTTTTCACCATGAAGTGGATAGATGAGGAAGGTAAGTTGGAAAGCATTTGATATTTAAGGTAATATTGTGCCTTTTAAAAAATTATTATTTTTAATATTTTTATCATTTTATTTGGAGCTCTTACAAAATCATAACATTCCATAGTTCTGTCACATCAAGCAGTGTTGTACAATTGCTGCCACAGTCAGTTTCAAAATATTTTCTTTCTACTTGAGCCCTTGGTATCAGCTCCTCATTTTTTCCCTCCCCCACCACGAACTTTCGGCACATTTTTAATGCAGTTTTTGTGGTAAAATTAGGTGCCTCGGCTGATATTTGGGTCGGCTTATACTCGAGTATATACAGTAATTATGATCACTGTTGTTTTAAAAGTGGTGATAGAAACTCAAAATCTTAAGAATTCTTCTTCAGAAAACATTTATTGGATATCTGCATGCCAAGGACATTTTCTATCCTCTAGGGAAATGGACATGTGTGTAAAAGTATAGTAAGTTCTGTAACATGAATATGCACAGGGACCTCGGTGAGTACAAAAGAAGCAGCATCCACAGCTGCCTGAAATGTCTGCAGTGCTCGGATGAAACCTGTAATGAGAGTAAAGGTTCTTGAGATAGAGCGGGTGAGGGAGGAAACGTAAAAAAAAATTTTTGGAACAATTTTATTGACATAATTCACATATTATACTGTTTAATAATATATAGGAGGAAAACACTTTGAAGAGTAAAGTAAAAAAAATCACAAAGAGATGGCGTGTGTGTGTGTGTGTGTGTGTGTGTAGTGGTAAGATGAATTTGGACTCGATCCTTGCTCAGAATGCTTAGACATGTCTGTTTAGGTCCCATCCCAGTCTGCTAAATCAGAATCTACATTTAACACGTTCTAAAACTGAATTCTATGAATATTAATAAGAAAGTTCCAGGACTAAGTCCAGAAAGACCTTGCAAGCTTCCACGGTATTTTCCGTGTTTGAGTCTCACTGAACTGCAGTAAAAGACCCTAAGTGCACAGCTTTCGTAAAATCATCGTCATTGCGGTACGATTAGAATGTTATTGTTTATTTATTTATTTTGGTTGTTGTTCTTCCTGTATTTTATTTCTTGCCTGGTTGTATTGGCAAATGAAGATTAGAATTTGATTTTCAAGAATGCCATTAAAATATCTAGCTCAAATTTGAGGACATTCCTGGGTTTGCTGAAATGAAGAGCCCTAGGAAAATAGCTCCCCACGTAAACTCAAGCACATTTTTTGTTTTTTAAAAGAAGTTTCTCCACACCAGCCTGTGTGATCATGAGGTGTTGACGGGATCAGATATCAGGCATCAAAGGCCCAGAACAAAAAATCATGTTAATGTGAATGAGGGTGGGGGCGTGCAGAGTGAAGGCCCAAAGACAATCTGTTGGCAATTGGACATCTCCTTACAGAAGGGTCGTGGGGAAAAGACAGACCAGTCAGGGTGCAGTATAGAACAGATGAAACATACACGTTTCCTCTGGGTCTTTAATGCTTTCTCACTCATATCATGACCCTAATTCTACCTTACAAATCTGGCTAGACCAGAGCATGTACATGGGTACAGGTAAGAGCTGGAAACACAGGGAACACCGGACAGATAAACTTCTCGGGACCAATATTGAGAGTAGCCATACCAGGAGGGGGAGGTGGGGGGAGAAAAGAAGGTGGAGGGAACCAATCACAATGACCTACTTAAAACCCCCTCCCAGGGGGATGGACAACAGGTAAGGGGTAAAGGGAGACATCTGATAGTGCAAGACATGGAAGAAGAATAATTATAAATTATCAAGGATTCATGAGGGAGGAAGGGAGGGGGGCGGAATGAGGAGCTGATACCAAGGGCTCAAGTAGTAAGAACATGTTTTGAGCATCATGATGGCAATAAATGTGCAAATGTGCTTGACACAGTGGATGTATGTATGGATTGTGATAACAGTTGTACGAGCCCCCAATAAAATTATTTTTTTTTAAAAATGCTTCTCTGAAGTAATCCATATTCACTATTGGCGGTGGGGAGGGGAGAGTAACATATGTTATGATTTAAAAAAGGAATCCCCTGCTTGCTCTTTCTCTGCTTCCCCTACCAATCCTGTTCCAAATTATGAAAAACACTAACAGCTTATAATATATCCTTCTAGATATTTTATGCATATACAAACATATATTTGTATAAATGATTTCTATAAAGAGAGTGGAATAGAAAATTTCAAAGGGGGGAAGGTGAAAAAGACTAAGTATTATAATGTAATTTGCAAAAGACCTGGAGCTAGAAAGCCAGAAAGGAAGAACGCAGTCAGCATATCTCAAGCTGAGGAAAAAGCCCAGCTTGCGCTGCAATATTGACGGGTTCTATGGGCAAAATAAGTGAATGAAACAGAAAGCATCAATGATGGAAGGAGGGCACAGTCACTACATCAAAAGGAATTGGTTGACAGGTGAACATTTCAAGAGGTGATATGTGGTCAAGAACTGGTGGTAATTAAGGGAAAAGTCTAAGGCACTCTGAAAGTACTAGCCAAACAGAAAGTTCCAGGAATTGATGGAATACCAATTGAGATGTCTCAATAAGCTGATGAAGCACTGGAAGTAATTTACTGACCTATGCCAAGAAATTTGGAAGACAGCTACCTGGCCAACTAAGTGACCCCACACAATGCGGAAATTACCAAACAGTATCATTAATATCACATACAAGTACATTTTTGCTGAAGATCAGTAACACTTTTTGCAGTTCATTGGCAGGGGAGCTGCCAGAAATTCAAGCTGAATTTAGGAGGGTGTGGAACAAGAGATATCATTGTTGATGACAGGTGGATCTTGGCTGAAAGCGGAGAATATCCAGAAAGCCTTGTGTTTCATTGTCTATAAGAGGCATTTGAGTGTGGGGACATAGCAAACTATGGATAACGTTAAGAATAACAGGAATTCCAGAATACTTACTTGTGCCCATGCAGATTCTGTACATGGAACAAAAGGTAGTCGTATAAACTTAACAAAGGAATAGCATGTGATATAAAACTGGGAAGATGTGCCTCAGGGTGGAATCCTTTCACTATACGTGTTTAGTTTGTATGCGCAGCAAATAGAGAAGTTGAACTGTATGAAGAGGACCGTGGTGTCAGGACCGGAGGCTTATTAACAGCCAGAGATATGTAGGTGACACAACCTTGCTTGCTGAAAACAGAGGACTTGAAGCACTTGCTTTTACCTTCAGTTTGGACCACAATGCATTGTAGAAAACCAAAATGCTCACATCTGGATCAATAGATTACATCATGGTAAATGGAGAAAAGAATGAAGTCATGGATTTCATATTATATGGATGCACAAGTATTTTTCACAGAAACAGCAGTCAAGAACTCAGTTGAATTACCAGATTGGGCAAATCTGTACAAGAACTCTTGTGTTGAACGAGGATGGCACTGTGAGAACTGAGGTGTTCTGACTTGCAATCACCTTGGGTGCATGTGAAACTTGGACAGTGAATAAGGAAGACCAAAGATGAATGGATGCATTTGAATTAAGGTGTTGGCAAAGAATGTTGACAGTACCATGGGTTGCTAGAAGAACAAACAAATCTGTCTTAGAGGAGGTACAGATAAAATGCTCTTAACAAAGATGGTGAGACTTTTTCTCATGTATGTGGACATGTCAGGAGAGACCAATTCCTGGTAAAGGACATCTTGCTTGGTAAAGTAAGACAGCCAGTGAAAACGAAGAAGACCTTAATGAGATGGATTGACATGGTGGCTGCAACGATGGGCTCAAACAGAATGTATAGTGTACATTTTATTTGTATATAATTCACAGCATTACCTTTTTAATATACATGGCATTCCATATTGTACATGATTTGTTTAATCTCTTACTGGTGAGCATTTGACGATCTCTAGTTTTTCACTAATATATGTAGAATGAAATGAATGTTGTTACATAATTTTATAAGTCATATTGGGGCTCTAGCAAATTCCTGGAAGGTGGGCGTGTGTATTGCACATTTTGGTCCATGGTGACAATTTGTCATCAAAAGATGTTACCCGGTTTATAGCACAGCTAGGGTGAACAAGAGAATCCCTTCACTCTCATGCTCACCAATCTCAGATATTATGAGTTTGTAACATTTTTGCAAATCTAGCACATGAAATGCTGCCATGGGTTTGTGAAATTTTGCATTACTTTAAAGATGAATATCTTCATTTATTCAATCGCTTTTAACCTATTTCATTACAAGGTTAGTTTAAATACGATTAATTGTAAGGTGTGTGGTTATCTCTGTGTATATTCTTCAACCTGCAGATGAGGTCATATAAATTAGTGCATATAGTAAGCACTCAACAAACTGGTTCTTATAAACTGATGTCATCTCCCTAATGCTGTCCTCCTCATTTCATGCCATTTATTTGTGATTTAGAGCTTTTCAGTCAGTGGTTCTCAAACTCACTTCTTTTTTTTTTTCTCACTTATTTTCATAGAAGTAACTGGATAATACTTTTCATTGAAAGAATTTGATTCCGAGTTATATTAAAAATTTTATTAGTACTTTTATATTTTATATGAGTATTTTCTTTGCCTGGACCAGTGGTTCTCAACCTGTGGGTCACGACCCCTTTGGGGGGGAGGTGTCGAACGACCCTTTCACAGGGGTCACCGATTCATAGCAGTAGCAAAATTACAGTGATGAAGTAGCAATGAAAATAATTTTATGGTTTTGGGGGCGGGGGGTCACCACAACATGAGGAACTCTATTTTTTTTAAATCATTTTATTGGGAGCTCATACAACGCTATCACAGTCCATACATAACATTAATTGTGTAAAGCACATTTGTACATCCGTTACCCTCATCATTCTCAAAACATTTGCTCTCCACTTAAGCCCCTGGCATCAGCTCCTCATTTTTCCCCATCCTTCCCCACTCCCCCTTCCCTCATGCGCCCTTGATAATTTATAAATTATTATTTGTCATATCTTACACTGTCTGACATCTCCCTTCACCCACTTTTCTGTTGTCCGTCCCCT